TTGTGCTCTGCAGGATCGAGAACTACACACCTGACATGTCTGTGGCAGAGGTGGATGACTCCATAGACAAAGCTCTGCAGGTGTGGGCCAATGTCACTCCACTGAGGTTCACAAGGATCTACAGCGGCATTGCTGATATTAGGATCTCCTTTGGTCGCCAGGGTGAGTCTAAAAACACACTAAGTAATATAATCACTGAACGTATTTATTGTATTATTGCACAAGACATGACCATCCCACCTATCTCACCATCTCACCTATATTTTTTAGTGTTTTTTTGTTTTGTTTTGTTTGGCCAAGTCTAATACCGCTATCTTCTAACAGCACATGGTGATTTTTACCCCTTTGATGGCCCTGATGGCACTCTCGCCCACGCATTTCCTCCCGGTACTGGCATTGGAGGGGATGCCCATTTTGATGAAGATGAAACGTTCACGTTCCGCTCAAGCAAAGGTAAGTTTCTTTACTTTTATGAACTGTGGTGTCCAAATTATTACGCTGTAGTGTGCGACCTGAGTTATCCTTAGCTGTAACCAATTGTCATTCTGTGTTTTCTACTTCAGGCTACGTCCTCTTTATGGTTGCTGCCCATGAATTTGGTCACTCTCTGGGCTTGTCTCACTCCAATGACCCCGGTGCTCTCATGTACTCAGTGTACTCATACAATAACCCTGACACCTATGTTCTTCCCCGGGATGACGTTAATGGCATCCAATCCCTCTATGGTGAGTACTAAATTCTTTTTTTGGTTTTATTCAATTAAAAATATTTGAGTTGACCAAAATCTTAGAAGAACCTGTGCATAAATAATTTTACAACTTACAACAGTGTGATATTTATTAAATTACCTCCAGGTCCAAATCCAGATCCCGTTAAGCCTGGACCTACACCCCCCACTACTCCTGATGCCTGTGATTCAACGATGGTTTTGGATGCTGTTGCCACACTGCGAGGAGAGACGCTCTTCTTCAAGGACAGGTATCACAAAATAAATGCATAAATACCTGAGTGAGAAATCTCTCATAGCAGAGCTGGCTTCTGACATTGGCTGATTGATCATTTACATTAATTTACATTTTGTGCGTGTGTTCACAGATTAGTCTGGCGCAAACACCCTCAGGTCAGCACACCT